GATATACAATGCAGCTTTAATTAGTCACGCTTTTTCACTCCAATTAGCTTTCTTCTCAACCACATTTATGCTCACTTCTACCACACACCGAGACAAAATTATGCTCACTTCTACCACACACCGAGACAAAATGATAGTCGCGTAGCACATGATATGGCAGTTGATAAGAGCTTTTTTTACATCATTACAACATCACGTGGTGTTTGGTCTAAAAGTGGGAGCACTATATTCAACCAACTATCGAGAAATTGTCTTCTTTTTTTGTGACGGTACCTGAGCACCATGTTACAACATCACCTTGTGTTTACTCTTAGACTGGCTGTTGTAACTAATTAATGGGCTCTTAAATAATTACGGTCCCTTTCTTATAGAAAAGTGTGAAAACAGTATGCAACTTACAGGCAGAGTGGGATAACTCATAGCCCCATTGATAAGAACAGACATAAAAACGGCGACGATTGGGTTGAAACCTATGGCCCGACATCCTGATTAAAGGGAAAAGAATAGAGCACGCATGAGAAGCGATATTAAATCCACTACAAGGCTGCCTCAGGTTGAATATGTACAGTTAATTAAGTAAAGGTACGTTGAAGCCAGCAAGATTTACCAGTAAAAGTTTCCCATGGATAGACGATGCCATTGTCGTCCTGGTCGAAAAACGCAATATGCTGCTGAAGAACACTCATGTTACGGTGCTGATGGCCAACTGTTCCTGTTGGATGGTTTGTGTCTGGAGCAACCAATGCTCTGGGCATATCTGAAGTTGGGGGTGTGTCAAAGATAAAATAAAGAGTGAATTAGTGTCCTGAAAGGCTGTATTAGCCTTTTATTTTCTTTCTAACCTACCTGAGCATGTTACAATTTCCAGAAACTTGTCAAGGAAAGGTTTCCAATAACAAGAAAAGAAAAAATAAAAAAGATATCAAATTAGATAAAAGTTGTTGGGTTTCAATTGGGTACATACTTGTTCAATTTAGTGCAGAAATTCTTAATTAATCCTGTTATATTTTGATGTAATATTCTTAATTAAGAAATTTAAAATTAATCTCGTAGAAATTGAAAATCAAAACTATACAAGCAGTGTCTTGTTTTTGAACCCCACAAAATGAATTTAGCCAAGTTGGCAAGAGCAGTTTGAATCCCATCTCAATGATTCTAGTGCAATTACTCTATCGTTCGTCAAATTGAGAGAGAGAGAGAGAGAGAGAGAGAGAGAGAGAGAGAGAGAGAGAGAGAGAGAGAGAGCAACAGAAATGAATTGAAACTGGTCTCACATACATGGTTTAGGAAGTTTGGTTTCCAAGTCACTCCTGACTCTCCTCTCAATAGTCACAGGTGCATATGGAGCTTCTGTTGCCAATGCTTCATTCTCTATCACAGCACTCGCAGCCATAATTGATACGGTTTTCTGTGATCTTCTCTGACCTCTCTCTCTCTCTCTCTCTCTGTCTCTCTCTCGCTCTCTCTCTCGCTCTCTCTCTCTATAGCATAATATAGGAAACTATCTAGGTGATGTATATTTTGGTTATAAAGAGCGGTGGTAGAGAGAGAACTAACATAGGAAAGGAAAATAAGAAGGAAAGGTCGTCCTCCCAGACCCCCAGTCAGCTAGTATTAGGTTCTGCGTGGCAAGAAATGCAAACACCACCTTATTTTGGAGAGCAAGATGTGGCTTGATGTGAGAAATGCATGCAAATCTTGCATCACGCCCTTCTTACACCTGGCCACACCATGCACGTAACTCTTTCTCTCTGCGTCCGTGTGTCTTGTATTTTGCGCGATTATGGCCACCATGCACGTAACTCTTTCTCTGTGTGTCCGTATATGTTGTAATTTGCTCGACTTCAGCTCAGCTACGTACACTACCAGAAATTTGGTCTTGCCAGACGAAAGTTCAGTCTGAATATGTGTTTAATTTCTAAGTATACACCTTTCCGACACAAATCATGATTAAGTTGAGATAATCCTATAGTAAATAGAGGGAATAGAGATGTTGCAAAGTAGTGTCCATGGCTTCGATATGAACGTAGCTCAGAACGAATCACCACAGAGGGCCTTCTTGTTCGAGGCACCAAACTAACCCTAAATAAAGAAAGGGAGGAATAGAGGAGGTGAGAAAAAAGTATGGACACCTTCGCATCTTTGCTCATCCGTACCTTTTTTATTTTACAAGTGATCGGTTTAAATTTAACTAAATTTCAATTAGTTAAATCTCAGCTGTTCATTCGTGAAAAAATATCAGTTTAAAAGATAAAATGATAAGTTTTTTATAGCAATAATATGCTTCAAATTCGGGAGAATCCAATCTAAAATTTTTCACTTACAAATAAAGAAGAATGCCATTAGACTATAGTATTAAGTGACTAATATGCCATTACTAAGACATTTTATATTAATAATACAACGATGTGTAAAATTTTTCTTCACACACCATTGTATTTTTTTGGGCAGAAAGCAACATTGTATTGATTGTCGGCCCATGTAGTTGGGCTCATGGGGGCCTTCCCAATGGGTCCAGCCAGCGCATATAAAGCAAGCCCGCGGATCCTCCAAATATAAAGACCCGATTCCAAAACCGCTCCCTCTCTCATTTCTCCTCCTTCCAATCAACAAAACCCTGACGCGCAGGCGAATCAAAAGGTTTCCACAAGTGACAACAATGTCGACAGAGATTGCAGCAGCGGCGCCGCCACCAGCGGTAGACACAGAGGAGAATATTTCGGAGGAGGCGGCCGCCGATACCAAGATACAGGCAAGCAGCGGTCCCCACAAGCTGGAGAGAAAGTGGACCTTTTGGTTCGATAACCAATCCAAGCCCAAGCAAGGCGCTGCGTGGGGCTCCTCCCTCCGCAAAGCCTACACCTTCGAAACCGTCCAGGAGTTTTGGTGGTAAGAATTAGATTACATAACCTAAACCGAATTCCCCATCTCTTCCTCTTTTGTTAGTTTGGGGTTTTTAATTATTGGGTCTGAATAATGGATTAATTTAATTTCTCTGTATATTTTTCCTTTTAGTTTGTGTTTTTGTATTTGTTAGTTTTGTTGGAGATGTGGGTTTTTGCTGAATTTTGCTTGTTTGTTGATTGGTGCTGTGATTTATAATTAGATTATGTTTGGTTAATGACAAAATTTAGTGGAACTTTTCCAAATCCAAGTAATGTACCGGAGTTTTTGGTCCCTTTGTTTCCAAAAAATTGAGCTTTGTAATTAGTATTATGTTTGGTTAATGAGAAAATTTAGTGGAGCATTCTGTAAGTCCAGTCCATTAAGTTACCCAACTGCACTTAGTTTCATTGTGGACCTACAAACTCGGATTATTTGTAAATCCACTTGATTCAAGTTCTGAAATTTGATCTGATTTGAAATCCCCAATTTGACGTTGAGATGAAATATCTGTTTGCAGTCTGTACGATCAGGTATTCAAGCCAAGCAAGTTGACACCGAATGCAGACTTTCACTTGTTCCGGGCTGGAGTTGAACCGAAATGGGAGGATCCTGAGTGTGCTAGTGGAGGGAAGTGGACTGTCATCAGCAGCAGGAAGGCCAACCTTGATACGATGTGGCTAGAGACTGTGAGATTTCGATTTCCTTATCATTATTCATTACATTGATTGACACATACACACCCCTGTCACCCCTGTATGGGAATGAAGTTTGGCATACCATTGGCAGACATTGAATCGAACATAGGTTTGTACTTGATTTCACCTACTTAACGGTTTTGATTGACATTGGAACATAGCACGCCAAACTATGTGGACATTGAATACTACTCTCTCTCTATATATATAGTCAGCATATCCTCCTCACCGGTATGAATGGTTGGTGCATCTTGCTCACGGTGGGCTGAAGATGACTGTATTGGCCTAAGCACTTTGATTCATTGTGGATTAGGGTTTATTGGAAATTTGATAATAATGGTTCTTGTTTTATTGGGCAGTTGATGGCACTGATTGGGGAGCAATTTGATGAGGTGGATGAGATTTGTGGAGTGGTAGCAAGTGTGCGCCAGAGGCAGGACAAACTTGCACTATGGACTAGGAATGCTGCAAACGAAGCTGCACAGGTGTGATTTGAACTTGCACTTTAAATTGGATGGTTTTGCTATCCGTGTATTTGCTTGATCTATATTCACTCTTAAATGAATTTTGACCTGCTCTGCTATTAAACAATGATATAGCTAAAGCCCCAACTTATATGTGATAAAGATCTCGGCACATCCTAAGAAGAAGCGAAAGCATCCATGAAGACATTGCTACCCAAAATTTGCTTTATTAATCAACTGAAATATGATTACTAATACAAGATATGTTCGATATGTATACTCGCTTGACCTCTGCCCCATCAGCAATATTACATTTCCCATGGTTTTGTTGCAAATTTAAGATGTTGCAAGTGTCTGAATCTTGTTAGCTTGTCATGCAGATGAGCATCGGGAGAAAGTGGAAGGAGATAATCGATGTTACCGATAAGATGACCTACAGCTTCCATGTAAGTTTCAGTCGGTGTTATTTGTGTTGGAGTAATGTTAATTCTATTTCTCACTTCTTCTGGTATTGCAGGACGATTCCAAAAGGGAAAGATCAGCAAAGCCTCGATACAATGTGTAACTGATTTGGCGCATGGGTCTTCCACTCTCCATTACCAAAGTTGTGAACATCGCCACATTTGTCTACTTATTTTTATTAGCGTAATATGATATCGTTCTTTATGTTACGATTTCGAAAATTTTCTGAAGTACGCAGAAACTATATTTTGTTTGTAACATTGAAAATTTGTACGAGTACACTTAAAAAGTAAGTTTTGTTTGTAATACACCCATGATTTACTTGAGTTGACAATCAAATGATTCAAATCTGCATGTTTGCTAAGAACTTTCTGCAACCTTATTATCGGTATCGATGTCATGAAAATGGGATCCAAACTTGGATCCAAGGGGTGGACATGCGATTCTAGTCAACTGATCTAACTCACATAAGCGTTTTACCGTTGATTTAGTGAAGGAACATTGCAACTAGAGTGAAGAATGATCATGAAAAGTGCATATGTAATGGAGACAAGACATCGAATTATACATTGTGGTGATGTTGAAGGAATCCCAGCAGGTGGAGACCGGAGAGTGTATGCATGTGGAAGTCGTTTAAGAATGAAATATGAAAGCAAACTACAACATCAAATTTCTACTTGTGAAAACAAAATGGAGGCATCCCTGCTCTAGTGATTCTATCACGCCAGGAACCCCAGCCTCTCTCCGTTCTTCTTCGCCAGACGAATCAGTCCTTGCCTTTGTTTCGCGTCTGCTCCTATCGATTTGCAGAACTCGGTAATTACCTGCACGGAATATAGGGTTTGTCGATAATTCTACAACATCTATATAAGACCACCTTTTTCTTTGTTCGAATGAAGGTTAAGATCTTGGAGAGGGAAAACTTGATATGCCTATAAAGCTTTAAAATTCCATAATTCAATAATTAGAGGGAACCGAACATGAGCCTATCACAATCTTAACTCGTTACTCTAGTGACTCTACGCTCTCTCACCACTTGGTTTTGCGAGAAAAAAAACATACTAAGATTGTTTTTAAACAGAAGGCCTCACTAATTCAACAATTTGTTTTGTACCAACCAATTATGTTTTCATCCTAAATAATTGAAAAAGAAGCCGGAAAACTGAAAATTTGATGGTTACTAATTTGTAGCATTTCCAAAGTGATACTTCTCTTATTCGAGCGATATTCTAATTATATTTAAAGTGAACTATGAGAAAGGAGTTCAAATAGAGAAGCACATGAACTAGGCTCAAAATCGAACATCTAACACCAAATTTTAAAAAATATTCTAAACACAGTTACACAAAGGAAAGATTTGTATTAATTACCTGCGAGTGCAAAGCAATAGCTTTGCCTCTAATCTGATTGAACCTCTTCTTGCCAACAATGTTACGCGTGACAACAACAAGAGGTGCAAAGACACCTTTGCCTTCATTGATGTTCTTCATCATCGGCTGCGCTCTCACCGCCTTCCCAACTCTCACTTGGTTCGGGACCGCCTTCACCAACGTCCCATAATCTTCTCCGACAACCGAACTCCCCCAACTTCCATGGAACGACGAATTCAAATTTGCAGAAACTGAGGTTGCCATTGAAACAACAGTGCCTCTAGTTTCTCAGAAGCTTGTGAGCTTTAATGTTTTTTGCAATGGTTCTTGGTAGGGAGGGTTTTGTTGTGGAATTTTAAGAGCCCTTGGTTTCTTTTAAGGATAGCAAGTTAGGAACCACATATATTTATGGCCTTGGTTTTTTCTGCTCCAGTTTTTTTTTCCACGTGTTTTATTTGTACCGCCTTTGTTGGCACTGACGGTCCCTAGTTGTTGGAGGAATTTTTAGTTGTAACAAGAACATAAGTAGTACCATTTGTTTAATAGGAGTGGTGATAAATTTTATTTTTTAAGTTATTAACATTTTAGCACACATATCCTATTATTTGTATAGTGACACGTGGTGTATCATCTCGTGTACCGATCACACTGAAAAATCTTTCCTATTTGTTGGGAGGAGGATCTGAATCTGAATTCCTGGTGGGTTTGGTCCACTTGTCACCTTCCTAGAAGCCACTCTGTCATGCGTGGGATGATCTCAGCCGTTGGTTCTTGAAACCTTTCAAAAAATTTCATGTAGGGACATTTTAGAAGGCAAACTTTGAATTAAATTGAACGGTGCATAATAACAACGGACTTCATTGGTTTGAACTAGACTGTTCAAATTTGTATACGTAGTTCAGGTGTCGGCACGGACAAGCACTTCTTTACTTGACGGTTGCTTCATATTGGAACTTTTCATCAGGTACCATGAAGCCATAAAGGAAAAAAAAAAAAGGAGACGGAGATGAGGCAAAAATGTAATAGAAGGAGATGGACTTGATCCGATCCTTGAATATCAAAGTGCGCAACGAATAAGACTAACAAAATAAGAATATTATTAAACAAACTGAGAATGCCGAAACGGCTACAAAACCCTAAGAGACTACATTGTGGCTAACTTATTTCTCAACTGAATAACAAACATGCTATTTATAATAAACTAACCCTAACCCTAAAAGGTAAGAAACCGAAACCCTAATACTAACAGGTTAAGCCAAAAAAACCAAACATTCAAATAAACAAAAAAGAAGTGACAGTTAGAATTAGAAAAGAAAAACACCTAGCTTCTGGTACATACGAAGTTGTATATCAATGATTGATTGACTCTCCTTACATGTAAAGAGGGAGACGGTGTTTATTGTGTAATTGTATGTCTACAATTCAACTAATTCCTAGTAGCTACATTTGAAGAGCGTGAATTTTCAACCATTGATGGTTGAAGTCATGAGAAGAAGATAGTGGAAAAGGGTTTTAAATTTGCTTCCCGCGGACGGTGTTTGATGCACACCGTAAGTGTCACTGTTAGAAAAAAGTGGCAAAGCTGTTAGAACTTGGAAGCCACAGACAAAAACAGCATGATTAAACGCTGAGAAAAGTATTTCCACGTCAGTTTTTCGTCTTCAAATTCCACTAATTTAGAAACAAAAAGAAAAGTCTTTCTTCTCAAGCAAAAAAGAATTTCTAAAATGTATATTGTTATTTCTTTTAGGAATTCTGAAAGGGAAGAAAAAGAAAGTGAAGAAGAAAATCAATCTTACAGGAGGGAGAATCTAGAAGATCATACATTTCAAAGAAAGAACACTTCCGGCAAGAGATGAACGCTGAATTTCTGGAACTCGGTAAACCAAGGAAGGTATAACCGATTCCCATGATGCGTTTTTCCAGGTCGTCCTGCACGTTGAAGAACGTGTAACGATCATATGTATCTACAAGTAGTTAGAATGATAAGCAATAAAGACAATCAGTTCGCAACCAACAAAACATGATATCTTGGCCATCTCTTTTAGAAGGGCCGTGCAATGGTTTCAAGTGATCAGTAGTTCCTTAGGTGAGAACTGTACATTCTGTATCTAGATTGGAGTGCCACTATATAGATGTTTCATTTCGAAATACTAGTGTTACAAATGATTTAATAGAAAAACGCACAAACAAGCGAAGAAAACCCTAGGGAACATCGTTTCCAAGTACTTCCTGCGTAGAAGTTAAATGGATCAAGATTCAAAGTATCAGTACAGACACGAACGAACTGCACCGTAAAGTACTGCTCACCTCCAGTCTTATAGCAGTCGTAGAGTACAAGATGCAGGAATAACAAAAAGGAATGACTATTGTTTGAGAAAGCGTAGCAACGTACATATGTTTTTACATGCTCGTCATACTGTCACGGTATAATTGCACCCAATCACCGAAGAAAGCAAATAACACACGTGCAGCAAAGTTAAAAAACGAAATGATGACTGAACTCATCTACCTAAAGGCAAAATAATTCTATAACAGATTTAAGTGTAACGGCATAAATCAGTGATATCCTATGATTGCTAACAACTTCGAGGGAATATATGCCAGTTGATGGGTTTTACTGCTCTTGGCTAAACTGTTTGACGTCTTCTACCTATGGCACAAAGGTAATTGAACTTTCAAATCTATATATTGGAATACACAACGATGTACCAAAATGTATTCTTGAAAAATTTAATTCGTCAATATTAGCATATATAGCTTCCATGGAATCATTTAGTAAATTTCATCCGAGAAAACATATTATTCTATAAAAAGATACAAAATAAATAAGAAAATAAAGGTAATACACAAAGAAACCTCAGTCCAAGAGAGAGAGAGAGAGAGAGAGTAGCACCAACATTCAGAATGAATGTAATATCAATGCATTAGTTTCTATTCAAGTATACATTTCCTTACAGGGTAGCACCAACAACAACAACAACAACAACAACAAAGCCTTTTCCCACTAAGTGGGGTCGGCTATATGAATCCTAGAACGCCATTGCGCTCGGTTTTGTGTCATGTCTTCCGTTAGATCCAAGTACTCTAAGTCTTTTCTTAGGGTCTCTTCCAAAGTTTTCCTAGGTCTTCCTCTACCCCTTCGGCCCCGAACCTCTGTTCCGTAGTCACATCTTCGAACCGGAGCGTCAGTAGGCCTTCTTTGCACATGTCCAAACCACCGTAACCGATTTTCTCTCATCTTTCCTTCAACTTCGGCTACTCCTACTTTACCTCGGATATCCTCATTCACAATCTTCTCCTTTCTCGTGTGCCCACACATCCCACGAAGCATCCTTATCCGCTACACCCATTTTGTACGTGTTGGATGCTTCACGCCCAACATTCTGTGCATACAACATCGCTGGCTTATTGCCCTATCTATAAAATTTTCCTGAGCTTCATGACCTCAACGATCACACAACACGCCGGATGCACTCTTACACTTCATCATCCAGCTTGTATTCTATGGTTGAGATCTCCATCTAATTCTCCGTTCTCTTGCAAGATAGATCCTAGAGTAGCGAAAACGGTCGCTTTTTGTGATCGTCGCTAGATTTGCTCCGTCATTAGTGTGGATAAGTATATAAATTGATAGAGATAGGAAAGCAAACACAGATGTACGTGGTTCACCCAATTGGCTACGTCCACGAAATAGAGGAGTTCTCATTAATTTGAAGGGTTACACAAGTACATAGGTTCAAGCTCTCTTTTAGTGAGTACAAGTGAATGATTAGTACAAATGACATTAGGAAATATTGTGGGAGAATGATCTCGTCTCTTCTAAGTGGTATCATCTTGACTTGCCTTATCTTCTCGTATCTGCTGAAAGAAGGTGACATACAAGAGAGTTCCAAGCATGGATCAGAACTTTGATTTGAGTTCTTGTTCACATGCTTTCTGAAGGATAAAGAATTCAAAAAGTTCTTTTGACGCTAGATGGCTTGGGTAAAGGTTTTCTGGTTCCTGCCAGAGTATAAGACTGATTTACAAGGTAAATCTAATCAGAGCTCTGCTGAATGGGATCAACTTCCCGGTCATCACGACTATTTCGAGCCCTCGGCCTGAACATGTTCTCGAGAGCATTCTCACTTTTGAAGTAATGGGTTTCTTGGTATCTGAAAAATGTGAAGAAGATTATATGTAAAGATGCTTTGACAAGTAACTTTCCAAGGGCCGGCGATCTTTGAAGTTGGGGTGCTGGGCCTCTTGAAGTCAAAACAATCGCAATCTTTTTTCAAACAAGCAATCAGTCGGAGCTTTGGCTCTCGAGATTGGAGAACGATGCCTTTTCTGATTTTTTGAGTTGTTGAGAAAGGCTCCTGCGTGTGTAGGGGGTCGGGGCTCTCGAGATTCGGAGAGTCGGTCAGTCTCTGTTATGGATTTTTGAGAAAGTTTAATGATGTTGGGAGGTCTTTTGGCTGTCGAGGGGGGGATTCGGACTTTGAGAATTTTGAGCAGCAATCTTGTTGGGAGTGTTTTTCTCGAAATGTGAGGAAAGGTTGGGCATGTTGCTAGTCTTTTTCTTGCTGTTCCAAGGATGTCAGAGAGTTGACTCCCAGGGAAACAATCCAGCAGTGTAATACTATTCCTTTTACCTGCTCGGTCATAACTACGATACTCAAATATGTGTTCTAGGCCAGTTCACTGTTTTAACTTTGTGGCTAAGTGGTGATCCTCTTCTTGGAGAAGCGGTGTAAAGACTGCAGTCACGTGTCTAGCTTTTCAGGAAAACCAAGTTATCTGTGGAATCTTGGGAAAGTTTTACTTGTTTTCAGGGAAGTGGGTTGAAAGATGCAATTTTAATTTTGAACTGTAGTTAAGAGATTCCTTGTGCTTTCTACTTGCCCTAGATTTGTGAATCTTCGACTTGGATATCTTATCGCATAGAAAGTTTTGAAAATTTTCCGCCCTTTGACCTTGGTGATGCTAGCAGACCCAAATTTATGCTGACAAGGCATCCTGAGTAAAAGTAGAACCTCTTCATTTCTCGTCCTAATCGGCCCTAATTCTTTCTCTGGAGCGCCCAAGCTTTTTAAGTCTGATCCTCTACCTTTCATTTAAACTTGAAGATAAGGCCTTTCTAATCGGTTTGCGTCCCAAGGTTTTGAGAAAGCAAACGTCTCGTAGTCTCTGAGGCCCAGCCGAAGCAATTCTTCGATTTTTAAATTTCCTTCTGACTTTTTTAGAGGCTTGGATTGTCCAAAGCACACTTGAATCTTACCAGTAGAAGGCTCCATTCTTGCACTCTAAAGACTGATGAACTCTTTAAGCATCCTCTCTCCGCTTGACACCCCTTGTTGGGGATGTTGGTACGTGATTGGCTATTTCCAAAAA